TGACTTGAGGGAGCTGTCTTCCTCCCCTGCCTGGCGCGCTCCGGCCGTACCGTCCAGCAGGTTTGCCCAACCTGGTGCTTGGAAGCCACGCAGTCTGAGGGACTGTGCCGCTTGCTCGGCCTCCCGCGCGCTAGGCGGCGTGCCGGGAAGGGCCAGGTCCGTGAAGGGTCGCATGAGGTTGGCGAGCGTTCCGGGGTGGCATTTGCTCAGGCAAGCGGCCTTTGCTCTCTCGCCGAGGAGAGACCCAGACCTCCCATTCGCAGGGGCAGCTGCGCTCGCCGTTCACTTAAGGAGGGGAGGTCGAGAGGTTCTTCGCCCCCCGCCAGTAGAACGGCGAGGCATCGCGAGATCGCCGCGTCGTGCGAGGCAGCGAACTCCTCCATGAGGCTGGGTGGCACGGTGCGCAAAAGATAGTTGCATCGCGGCGCCGCACACAACAGTAGCAGCTGCCATGCGCTTTGCAGTTCTTGGAGCGCGGGTAGGCGAGCGAGTAGTTCGTCTTGTTGGCCCCGCTTAACTGCCAGTGTGGAGGAGACGAACTCGCGGCTTCCAAGTGGGCTGCCCTGCTGCTGCGGCGGCAAAGCCGGATTGAGGGCCCCTTTTCTTGATCCGATTGTGAGATATTGGACATCCAACCCCGAAGCTTGTCCAGATTCCCTGTCCCATGATTAGCTTTGCATCAAGCGATGAGCATGCAAAAGTTTGTCCAACTAAGCATTGCGTTTTGTCAGCCATGCCCCTGGCTGCGAACGGAGTTCATCGCAAACAATCTGACACGATCATGATACAACCACGGAACGGCCAACATGAAAGCGCAACTCATGTCACAACAAATGCATTCCAAAGATGCAAAAACACGTTGCCACGGCACCACCCAAGAGGTGATTCACGGGTGGGGCGAGAGAGAAAATTCTTGTGGATACATTCGCATGGCAGCGTCCAGTTGCTTCGATGACACGTGCAGTCGGCTTGACGCGAGTTTGACCCATGGCTTCGAAACCAAAGCCCGTCGAAATCACCTGGGAGAACTCCGCGAGTCCGCCTGTGAAGCCACGTGAAAATGAAGCCAAATCGACCCAAGCGCAACAATTTTGCCAGCCTGTTGAACCTGTACGTTCGCCTGGATCATGTGCATCGATTCTACTGCCCGTACCGGAGTTGCGTGCTTGCGCGGTGTCGCTCTTAAGCCAACCCTAGCTGCAGCAACTTTTTCGCCGAAGGCCAGATTCACCGTCGCGGTGGCGAGTTGTGGCGGAGAGTTTTGGCATGCTCAAGGCTACGAACAAGCCGGGAGCACGTTTCGGCAAAAACTCGGACGATTCGACGATGAAATTCCGATGCTGACAAGCGTCATCGTGTCTTGATGACAAAACTGGACGATGCAACGAGTCTCACATCGAAACGACTTTGGCGCCGACTGTTGCGATTCTTTTGTGGAAGGATTGGGAAATTGAACATGCTATCAGATGTGCACTAGTTTCCGCTTTCACCCTTTCACTCGGTACGTCCTGCGTCGATGCGAAGTCGTGCAAACCCCGTGCTCCTCGCATTCCAACAATCCACGTCTTTGTTCCTGCTAGCCGCTGCTAGCCACCGGGAGCGCACTCCTCGACCTCCGGAGACCTGGCGAGCAAACTCACGTGCTACATTTGAACAGACGTTTACCGTGCTTCTGATGCTGCGGTGCGTGCCGTTTCACGACTGCCGGACACAGATGGCAGCCTGCGTCGATGTGCAGATGCATCCGAACATGGTGTAGAAAGACTTGGGCACAGACAGGGGTGCGAAGTTGTCGGAGCTCTTCGCTGCCTGAACTCACATATCCGTGGTGCTGCACAATTCTCAACTGAGATAACCCCTGTTGCTACACAACGGAGCAAACTTTGCCAGCCTGGAAAACATGCTTTCCCGAAGCAAAGACTCGAGAATGACGCAAAACAGTCGGTACTGCACTGACCGCATCTGTTAATTTCCCGCACCTGGACCTGGTTTCGAAAATATTCTGGAAGTGGAGGGCATTCATAACTCAACCAACGGTGACTTGAATCTATCAGCATCTGCGAAAGCAGTGCAACAACACTGCCTGCCGATTCCGGCCGTGGCGACAGGACTGGGTCCATGGCATATCACAACTCCATGAGCAAACAAACAATCATGCTACAACGTGATATAAAGCATGTGCGTGCAATATCCAACTCAAATGGCGAGATTAAAGATGCGCTAGCTGCTAGCTGCATATCACCCATTAAGGTTCGTCGGGTCGGATTTCAATATGCTGGCTGGCTCTACACAACACACACATACAAAGCAACAATGCTGCCGCGTTGCTTGCCTGAGCCCTCGGCGACACTTGGGAAAGAATGCATTTTTATCCAAGCGAACAAATACAAAACTCTGAATGGATACCGTTTTAAAGCTTAGCACGTCCTGGCACGTTGTCGTCGCCAAGCCAAGATGAGGTCTGCAGACAACATCCGTTTTTTTGTTAAAGGTCCTTGGGCCTACCAGTACTGGAATGCTGTTCTACGTGGTCTACAAGGAGCTTCTTTGATTAACAACAGCGCAGCATCGAGTTGCGTGATGCTTGTATCTATCGGTTGCGGAGGGGCTAATCGGATGCACTTCTGCGACGCGACAGCTCGAAGCCTGGAACCTCCCTTTTCTGCTGCCAATTTCCGGTTCAGGACATAACATAGGCCCCGTGCTCGCCCTACTGACGGTTGCCACGCCGTGATCTTTCGCCTCTCCCTTCACCGGCACCTGCAATGGCAACCTTTCCTGTCTGGCAAACCCTGAGCCTGGGCCCCAACATCAACGTCCGATGTGGAGATCCACCTGGACTACTACAACAAGGCGGAACTGATTTTCACCTGCGAGCGGATATGAGCTGATCGAGTTAAACCAGTCTACGCGGCCAGTGTAAAGGCGAACATGGTGGTCTTCGAGCGCCATTGCAATTCGCAGCGGCCCGAAAAGGAGGTATGCCGCGCGTGGTTCAAGAAGGTGCCGGACGTGGCTTGCCACGTGGCACTTAATGTTATCAGATTACCTGGCCTGGACCGGACAACACCCACTGTGGTAGAGGATTTTTAAACAGCTAATTTTTCGCAGAGGCATTTTTGGGCGTCAGCAGCACTCGGTCCCCAAAACGAAACAACAAACGAACGGTCGAACGAGACACCCTTCCCGTGCGTCATCGTCCGATCGCGAGAGCAAACGAGCATGCGACCCGAAACCTTTCACAGGCGTCGATCGCAAGCCCCCAACTCGAACGAGCTTTCCCGACCAGTTCAAGTCAGAACTGCTCCCTCAACATATAGGGTTTTTCAACTTTACATACTGACCGTTTAGACGGTTGTTTCAGGACTCTTGCTTGCTTGGGCTGGGTGGGACAAAAAGATCTTTCACACAACCGGAGCGATCGCCTTGCCCCAAAGTGGCCACAGCGATCGCAAATGAATTAACATCCGAAAAGCATGCAGATCTCATGGAATAAGGCGCTTCCACTTTAGACCTACCCAACCAAGCATGCGACCCGAAACCTTTCACAGGCGTCGCTCTCTCGCTGGTATGAGTCCCCAACCCACTCCACAACACAGCAGGGAGGATCGCAAGTCTAAATTTCCTGGCAGTTTCGACTTGTGCAGGAGCCGCTCCAAGCGATTTCCACGTCTCGCAAACTGCTCGTGATCGGAAGTCGAACAGAGTGCGCTCACGCGAGCTCGCGGACTCCGCTGACGCTCCGTGTCCGCGAGCTCGCTCTGCTCGCGCACTCTGTTCGACTTCCTCCCTCGTAGCGAGGCCTAGAACTCGCCTGGAGCGGTGCTTCTGCGAGGGTCGAAACTGCACTGCAATTCGTTTCTGAGCCGATTGCAATCTGCTGTGTTGTGGGGCTCTCTCTGGGGAGGTGTTGCCAGCTCCCACTCTGTGGTAGCTACAAGTCTTGTTTCCAGACATAGGGAAGACTTCGTTAGTTGGGGGCCTGTCGATTTTGCGAGCTAGAGGGCGAAAGACTCGCAATCTGAGGGGCTCTAAAGTGCTCGCAAACCGGGCGCGTGCGGCTTCGAAAGCACTTTCATGGCGCGTGGAGGGCTTGGAAGCTGTTGGGGCGTGAACTGTCGCCCGAAGCTGTTTGGGGGGGGGGGTGACGCTCGCGCAAGCGCGCGACGCCGTTGGCGCGCGACGGTGAGCAGCAAGTATGCCTGAAATACGCCCGGACTAGCGCCGAAACGAACCGTTCATTGTGCTTACGTGATTTGCGCAATGAACCGTGGGAGTAAAATGCCACTCCTGTTGAATGAAAGTGACGGTTTGGCGGGTGCATTAACGAGCCCGAAAAAACCCGTTGAAAATGTGCCCTTGCACAAAGGGCCTCCACAGTTGCTGCAAGGTGCAAGAACCAGTGTGCACATGCAGCGAGCTGGAACCACCCTGCTCTTTTTGCCTGCAGTGATGCCACATATAAGGCATCTGACTACATCTGGCAGTGCTTTTTCGATCCGTGTCCAGGTTTCGCGGCGCCAAAAGCGAGCTTCAAAGTACAGGTCGTGGCGGTACCCTGCCTCCGACAACACGGGCCCAAAAATGGGACCGTCTTTGGAGCCTGTGGAAAGTGTGCCAATACTAAAAGGCCCCACAAACCGGTCCGACATCCGGACACGATTTTGGCCACCCTTTTCACACAATTTGGCCCTCTCTCCAGTGAATTTTCTTAATTCTCAAATTCGCAACAAAACGGTGGAAAACAAGTCTCGGGAAAGTTACGACTTCCTGGGCAGATGTTGAGCCAGCAGAAGCTGCTGATGAGCAAGCTGGAAACAACAACACACACAACAATCGTGCGGTTGTGTATAACCTCATCAACGTCCAAACAAGGTATTCCAGCACTGTGGGGGTCCCTTGTCCGCGGCAACGTTTTCGAGCTGTTTTCAACCCCCAAACCGCCCCTCATTTGGGCGGTTCTTGCCACCTTAAGCCGATCCACATCTCAATTCAAATTGGCAAGCTGTTTCTAAACCAACCGTGACTCCAAAAAGTCCGAAGATGAACAAAAGACAGAAATTGTTTTTGGGCACCGATTTCAATTTTCTTTCGGAGAACATGGAAGACAAAAGCAGCAATTAGAGTCGACACAGTACGCTTGCTATCGACTTAGACAAAGACGAAGAGGCTGTACGAACTTCGAAACCAAGCTTTGCAGACTGTCTGCAAATTTCACAACCAAATTCAGAACCCATGCACGGGAATTCTTTTTCAAGCAGGCTGGTCTTGACGGACATCCTGCAGCGTCGTCCGCCACGTGCCCTTGCCCTCCTTTGGGAGCAACTTCTAAAAAATGAAAACGTTTTGATGGGTTGACGGTTTGGCGGGTTATTCACGAGCCCGAAAAAACCGTAGAAATGTGCCCTTGCAAAAAGGGCCTCCACAGTTGCTGCAAAGTGCAACAACCACCCTGCTCTTTCCAAAACCTGGAGTTCTCCAAACACAAAAGAAGAAGCCACACAAGATCTAGCTTTTCGCCGTCTTCCCGCGCAAAATGGACAAAGCTTGGAAGCTTTGAAAATCCGTTTGAACATGTAGAAAGGAAGCAGGTTCAACCCAACTTCAATCTCAGGTTCAACCCAGCTTCAACTCTGATTCGAATCCAGATTCAACCCAAAACCAAGTTCTTTCCACTCAAACTGCAAGTTCAAACCTGGATTCAACCCTAATTGAACTTGAACTCAACTCCGCCCAAAAGTTTGAACATGACTTTCTATGGACGACCTTTTTGAGTCGGACAGCCCCAAGCAGCTCTTGTGCTGCCGGCAAGTAGGCTTGTAAGCTACTTGTGGTTAGAGCCTCTACGATCGTGCGAGCAGCAGGCCGGTCCGTGAATCGTCAGTGCTCAAAAGTACGAATTCTGAGCTATGTCTTGAACATGGGCCTGCAGCTGGGAGCTGACAACACTCTCTCCAGAGAGTCCAATGGTTCCATGCCAACTTCTTACCAAAATGACTTGCCCACCTGCGTCAAGCACTGAAGTCACTTCCCCTGGGTCGCTCCTTCAGGGCTCCAGCACTCTGCTTCTGGAAAGAACTGAGTTGCGCCTGTCCGCCTCAATCGGTTCCATAGAAGTCAGTAAACATCAAATTATGAACAAGAAACTTGCCGAAAGCAGACTGGAAGAAGTCGTGCATTCAATTACTCTTCTCAAAACTACGTGCAGTCGCTCAGGTGCTCCGCTTTCCAGATGCTCTCTCTAGGGAGGGTGTTGTCAACTCCCACTTTGTAGTAGCTACAAGGGCTGTTTCAAGACTTGGCTCAGAATTCTGTCCTCCAAGGGCCTACCAATTTTGAGGGCTAGAGGCCGTAGGGGCTGCAATCCTAGGCGCTCTAAAGTGCTTGCAAAACGCCCGTGAGTCGCTTCAAGGACACTCCGCGGCCAATTTGAGGGCTACGCCGCTCTCCGCAGCCACTTGGGAGGAGCGACGCGCGCTTGCGCGCGCGGGTCCCTGTTGACGGCGGGCTTGGGAGCAGTTCTAAGGGCAGTTTTTTGAGCAGTTGGGCTGGCAGCCTTGAGGGTCATAAATCATGTTAGCCAAGGGGACCCCCCGGAGACAAAGAGACAATGGGGACAAACGCCCCTATACCCAGGTATGGAGGCTTGAGGGCCAGAAATCAAGTTAGCCAAGCGGACCCTCCTGAGACAAAGAGACAATGGGGACAAACGCCCCTATACCCAGGTATGGAGGCTTGAGGGCCAGAAATCAAGTTAGCCAAGCGGACTCTCCTGAGACAAAGAGACAATGGGGACAACCGCTCCTATA